CTTTAACCTTCGCTTATCAATCTACACTGTTTTTATATGAGCGTATTTGTGTGTGCCCTTCTTATCCTATTAATCACATGTCTGTAGCTTTATTTTGTCTGACTATAAATATTGAGTAACGCTTGATTAAAATGGAGCTGGCTTCCCAGCCATCTTCCCTGCGTGTCATTTTGCTTTGCTATGTTTCATTCGCTTCATATACAAAATATATGTATTCACAAATCAATTCTCGTTATTCGACTTATTTAATTCCGTTATTGGATAACGTGATTTAAGTCGACGATTATATACGAGAATAGGCGATAACAAACATTTATACGATCTAAATAGGAGTCAGATCCACCGGGCCACTAAAATGGTGAGCCCTTCAACGAATATCGTCGATCTAAATGAAGACAAAATCAAACTACGGGCCTCCACAAGAGACATTGTATTTTCTTAACTACCTAAGTATTTTGGAATAAATGTAATTGTCGTAACATTTGGAAACAAACCATAGTACAATCCAAGTTAAGATTGGTAAGAGATATAATGTTCAAAAATTTACACAATTCTCACTACGTGTTAAATTTTTGGCTCCTTCTAAATAGTAGTAGCAGACTTTATGGAATTCAACAAAGCAGCTTTTTAGAAAGATCTTATTCCAGTGTTTACGTACTTTCTAGAAACTTGTGGCTGAAACTCTTCTGTAATTTGACTTAAACCAACTAATTATTTAACACATCGTTTCGCTACAGGATTTCTGAAAAAAGGTCTCTCGAAGCGATGTAGAATATTTTATTTATTTCTAATCTTTATACTTAACCAATCTAAACATGATTTAAAAATTAAGGATAAAGTATTACACATTAAACAGTTAAGACTAATGATAATTATTGATGTTCTTATCGATACTTTTCACCAATATCTTATATTAAGTTATAAACAAAGTGATCTTTATTCGTTACTAAATCCCAATAATATTGACAAGACCGGATTAAAGATTTTTGTTAGTAAGGAATCTGACATGAAGTCTGTCCACTAGTTTTAAACAACTGGACTGAGACACAGTCGTATACTAACAAAGATTTTTAAAAAATGTATAAAATACTAGCTAGTTCATTGTGTTAATCTTATGATTATTCCAAAACTTAGAGCATAATTCGATCAGCACGAAATTATATAATCCAAGATAGGATTGTCTATAAATATATAATGCAATAGAATAACATAGGTTACCGAAACCTTTTTCAGATGATGCAAGTGTATTTGATCATATTAGTTTGTCCTGTTCTTTATCCGTCTATCTAACAAATATATTTGATAACGATTGTCTCGGAAATCCAAAAATAAGAATATAAAGTTCGATACCATTTAAAGTGATTTAGCTATATGGAACTGCTAACACTATATTCCATACATCCTTTGCCTCTCATAGATTGATTACTAAATGTTGAGGTCTGTTGATGAGGTCTTTACATTTTAACATGAGTCACTGATGTCATTTCACGTTTTAATATAGCAAGAATAGCAATTAACACAAATTCTGCATCGATTGCTGATTTTGGGCTGTTCAAATTCATAAAAGAAACTAACTGTATGAAATTTCCAATTTGTTAGTTAATAATCTGTCAGTCTGATGGATCAAATGTCTCAGAGTGAAGTTTGTTAATTATTACTTTGATGGCTGGAATAAAGGCGCAAACTCTTGCTATATTATGAGTCCTTCATTATGTAAAGACATCGAAAAGCAAGTTGCTTTAATTCTCCAATTACTGCATCTTCATTTCAGAGTTTTACTTTTTAGAAAAAAACTAACTGAACACTTGAAATACCATAATTGACTGGTACGAAAACTGGAACTCTATTTGATTTTACATTTGAAAGCCTAAAACAGAATTTTCTTCACTTATTAACAATTAAATTAAACTGTCATAATGAACAACAACAGAAAGGTCATTAACATTCTTTTACTCCTGTTAAGAAACTTTTATTCTAGAAGAGCGTGTGAAGGACTTTATTAATTTTCTAAAGAGATACAGTTGTTTGAAACAATATTTTCTCAAGCTGTCGTGAAATTAACTGTAGTGGAATCTTCTTATTACAAAACTACGATCATTCTAAATTGTCACAACAAGCATTTACAAAACGCAGCAGTCAAATTGTCATCTTTATGAAAACTGAAAATATGAACAAAAAAGACTAGATATACTAGACTTAAAAACTGTAAATGTGTGAAAACGTATCACAGTAAATCAACAAATGCGTCATTACTTCATTCAAACTATGATGAAAGCAGATGGAGAAAATTATGGATACATTGAAAGGTAATTCTCAGACTTCTAGTGGTAGCCATGATTAATGGAGTTTATGCATGTCAAACCTAAGATAAATATCGTCAATGGAAATAAGTTGGAGTTGCACAATATTGAAAATTGTCCTAAGTTGGAAATGTACACCACTGAATGCTAACTCACCGGTCTAGAGGATAATCACTATCAACCTGAAGATCCTGGTTTCAATCCCAGGTCTAACTACGGATGAGGACTGCTTATCTGTCCTATAGGAGGATGAAGAGTTTGTTTAGTCTTTTCTAGCTTTTAATAATTGTCTTACAAAATCATTCTGCGACACGGACCTTCAACGTTCAGTATGAAACAAAGTGTATTTGTAATATTTTAAAGGAATATTTCTTTAGATGACCACAATTTAGTCTCTAGACCTAATCTATTGTTAAAGGAATTCGCTTTGGCGATTACCATGTGTTGTATAAGCTTACAGCTGAACTATTGTAAATTCTAAATGAATTGGTTTTTGTTGAAAAAACTGAAAAATCCATAAAAACGGATGAAACGGATCAAAAATTAGAATCAATATGGGATTTCTCTCAAGTTTTCAAACTTTTATTTCATGATTAGACATGAATCTTTTTTTCAGAAAGAATAAATACTTTTATGAATAATTTTGTTATATAACTTTGGATTGTTATTACAAAGAGACAAATCAGACATTGGTTGTTTTACATTTTTCTTTACAATGTCATGGAGTTGTGTATAACACCGAATTCTTTTCTTTGTTTGGCTAATCTTTTATGTTCTAAATATGGAACTTTACCACATCTCCACAACCATTTCTTAGGCCAATTAGAATAAATTTCTGTCACCATATAAACTTGAAAGTAATGTTGATTCAATACCATTATACTTTGATATTTTTACTATGTGATGAATATAACTTCCATAAAACCGAAAAAGAAAACGTTTAATTTTTCATTCTACAACTGAACTTATTCCTCAAATATCATTTTATTCTAGTTTGTTTTCCTGACCAGTAACAAAATGTATCATTAGTCATTTTTCACCTCAGTCATACCAGTCAACTAACTAAAAAAACCCCAATATTTTCTGTAGCTTTCACAAGAATTCATTAGGAATGTTTAACAAAATGTTTTTATTACACAAAATGATATCATGTATAGATAAATAACAATAAACCAAATGATGAGATATGAAGTATGATAGTGTAAAAAAATGCATAATGAATATATACATATTTCGTTTGATTAAAAAGTGTTCAGCACTTAAGGGAGTACATGATGAAAACAGGAAATCATAATGTCTGAAATTTCAAAGGTTATATAAACCATACTGGTTATAATTTCAGTCATTTCTAGTAATAGAATTTTGCATTATTTAAATATAGAATAAGTGTCTACAAATATTAGACCTGATAAAATCAACATTTACATAACTATAATGTTTTATAAATAAGAACTTTTGTACTCGTTTTATCAACTATTTATTTTTCAAATGTAGCATCTAACCACTTGTTTACACACAAATACTAATGATTTACTTTAATTGTAAAATGAAGAATCAACTATGAGATTAAATATCCAACTTAACAAAATATACTTATAGCTTTAATCAGCTTTATTGAGAAATCAGGTGAATTCTTGGAGAGATATTCTAGAAGGAAGATTCATTTTATGGACAATACAAAAAAGTGATTGTGACCAAATTATTATAATTCTGTACTGTATCATAACCTTAACAAGTTTGGATTATGGAAATAATATTTATCACGCATTTGGAATTTCTTCGAATTTGAGACGGTAAATCTTAGAATTCCTATCGAATGTTGTTAAGTTTAACTGACAGTGGAATTAATTGTGCCTGTGAATGATGATTTATTTATTTATTTTCCATGGAATCCATACCATAGTATGTAGTGATTATTTTAGTCAAACATCACTATATATTATAACACTAGCTACGTATTCACAAAATATCATCTATTATTAATGCTGATGATGTGCATTTATTCAGAATATTTTCTAAATATCTAAACATGCATAATAATAACAAAGAATTCGAAAAGAAAACATAAAATAAACCAGTTATAATTTATGTACTCTTGATTTAACAACTCATCAAAAGGATTGATTTAAACCTTATTGACGTTTAAATAATCATTAAACAAAGATGATGATCATAGCTTAGGATTTTAGATACAGATACTCTAGAGTTTTTGAAGTTGTGTTAGATTAAAGACAAATTTAATATCACTTTAATGTGATAGGGAATAAAGGAAACCTGATTGATCACTGACATCTTATCTCTACTTTTCACTAAACATTTTTTAAAAATTGATAAATAACTCATAGTCATTCTATTTTAACTTACAGTCCTGTATTAGTTAATGCTACTGTTTCCTGATATCTGTAAACTTGAAGTTTAATTATTTCAATTAGCATAGTAATTTTAGTTATCAGTAGATTGTTCCATCGTAACACAGGTAAGCATATATATTTCTAAGGAATTTAAAAGTCAATCCAATATTCATTTTGTACTAGTCATATCAAAAAGGGTAGTAAAAATCATACAAAAATGCAGAAATACACCTAACGACAAAGATTAAACAATTTCATTTAAATAAATATTGAACATGATCAACAGACAGTATTATGATTTTTTTACATTAAAAAAATATATCCCATAGAAACAATATAAATCACTTACATTGAATGAACAAGGCCCCAACTAATCTTTTGACAAGTTATAATTGTAGGAGATATTGTAATAGTTATCAGTCCATAAATAATTAATAAAGTTATACATTTTTTCATAATTATAGTATGAATTGATGTAAGACATTTAGTTATACAGAAAATATCCATCTTTTTAAATAATGATAAATAGGTTATTACATAAGAAGTGATACAATGAACTAGATGGTTTACAGGTTGAATTGACTATTTTTAATTTAATTTACATTGATAGGTATTAAACAATATACACATCTTTATTTTGATTATCTGAATAAAAAAGTTATTTATTGTGATGATTGTGCTCTGACACGCATAGTAGATTATTAAATCACCTTTATTTTATTATTGTCTTTTTTGTTGTTGAAAATAAAGATTTAAACAAATTTTCAATGGTACAATATACATTTTAGTGTGTGCAAATGTGTGTATCAAATTTTGTGTATAACTACTAGTTGGTTTGCAAATTTTTCGTTCAGTTTATTTGTGTAAAAACGAATCAACTATGTTTCTTAAAGATTATATTATTATACAAAACGGACATATCATTTCTTATGGCAACTACAAACATGTACCTGCATTAAGGATTTTGTAAGTAAAAATTAGTTGATTCCATAAATGAAATAACTATTTATTCATGATTATCATTACTGAATAGTTTTATATTTTTACAGCTTAACCATCTAAAGACAATCAAAGGGAGTGAGAGAACTACAAAAAAAACTTTTATTCGTCTAATGAACCCTTCGTCCTACTTGTATCTATCTCCATATTTATTCAGAGTACTTTATACACATAAATGTATGGCCTTACTAATAATAAATTACTTTATGTAAAGAAAGACTAGATAGAATGATAAATAGACTAATATTTAAGACAGAAAAATAAGTATATTTGTTTGACTTCATCTTTGAAAAAATCCACTTTGTGAAATAACACAGTTCCAAAATAGATTTATGATGATACATAATGGAATAAGTTACTATGGATCTAGGGAAAAGAAAGTCAGATGTCCAATTTTCTTTTCAATACGAACTTTTCTTTCTCACGGATATAATGGAATTCGTGTTTTACAGGAGATGAATCATTGCTCTGTTTATTATTGATTAGTAATATGTATTTATAGTAATGAAGATAATCCCATGAAATTTTGCAAACCTTTTCAAAATCGTGTTTATTGTTTATCAGTCTTATAGTGAATACATTGAATTTAATTATTTGAAATGTAGCTAAATTATTATTGTTATTTTTTAATTCCCATAAAATAAGCATCAATGAGGTATTTTCACCTGTTGATTAAAATGATCCAAGGATCTATGTTTCTTCATCAATGTAGGTCAAAGATATGCTCTGTTAATGAAACTTGAACTGGAAATATCCATTATTTGCTCAAAATTATTAAAGTAGTATTTAATAAAGTGTAAATATCGATCATGAGAAGAAGGACATGCTAATGGATGTCTTCAGATGTTCAGTATAAGTTTATTGATTAAAAGCACTTTTTTGCACTAATAATAATAATTTTATTAATTGCCATTACAATTCAGACACTTCCTGGAAGTATTACAAAACATCTGTTATATGGATCACGTTACACTTATTTATTCATCTATTATTATATCTACACATCCTTTTTTATAAGGAAAGAATGAAAATTTGTATGAGAATATTATTAATATGAAGGGCTTGTTCAGGGTTTTGTGTGTTAAAAATCAATAATGATCACAAACCAATATCAACTGCAACAATGAACTAACCTAAATAAGCAGTGAGACAGTAATTAAACAGTGATCTGAGACTAAGATAACTTTGAAAGAACCAAGCTCAAAAGAACGATTGATGAAATGATGTATTATTCGAGGTACGTTGATGATACCTTCATCGTATGTAATAATTAACAACATGCAACAAATCTGCTAAAATTTTTCAATGAAGCCCATCCATTTCATTATGAAACATGAAAAATAAAACAAGTTCCATTTCCTCGATATCGCGATGAAACGGAGGAAGGATGGTACAGTTCAACGTTCATTTGATAGGAAAGACATATGGAATGGGATTTATCTCAATTTCAATAGCTTTTTTCCAATCAGTTGCAAAAACTCACTTGTCAAAACACTATTTCATAGAACAGAAAGAATATGTACTGCCGATACACTAGAAGAGCAAATTGTGAATGTCAAAGTGTTTAAAGGATAACGGATACCCACTGAAATTTATTGAGAAGTATGGAAAACGTGAAGATAAAAAACCCAAAAAACTACAGAAAATAAAAAAACCTATTTTTACTCAACCTAAATTCAAAGGTGATGATGTCAAAGGGTAAATCAATATGAACTTAAAATGCATTGACAACGACCTATCCTGTAGCTGAATTGATCGTCCTGTCCAAAACAACATGTTCTTTGATACAATCAAAGGTCGATAGGTATCCCTTTCGTATTACCACCAACTGTGTATACAAATTTACATGTGTCTGCTAAAGCAGCTACATTGGTAGAACAGAAAGGAGAGCCTACGTCCGATTCAAAGAACATATTCCGAAAAGTTTAACATCAAATTGATTGAAGGCATTCAACAGTGCTATCGCAAGACATCTGCTTGACACGGGACACGAAGTCGATACACTGAAGTCCTTCAATGTGATCAACAAACAATCAAATTCAAACTTTTTGAAATTTGCCGGAGTAATATCAATAAAACGTCTAACACCAGATCTATTTATACAAAAAGAGACAGTAATAAGTCTTTCTTTGCCCTGGTAACACAAAACCCCTCTTTTTTATTTATTACGTCATTCATTATTTTAACTCTTTCTGAAGTTTAGATTACATCATTGTCATTTCTTTTTAATTCATAACTGACTGACCTTAATTCATATCTTTCTTTATTACCACTATTCTATTTCCTGTTGCTTAATTACACAATCATCTCATTTCTGTTAACTCCATGACTTCTCATTACTATTTCAATGTTCTGAAACTTTCCCTCCCAAACTTTATTCATTCTAAACAAAATTTTTATGACCTTATTAACTATTGAAATCCTCACTACATAATGATACACATATTCATCTTTCATCACCCTTTTATGTATAAGTATGTCAATATCTGTAATAATGTTGATCTTAAAATATTATAAGTTGTACACAGCTGATGAGAAACTAACGAAAAAAAACAACAAATTCACATATTATTCTACACCAATCTTTTTTCTTGCTCTCTTTAAGATAATAAAGGGAACTATATGTATAAAACTGTTTAACTAAATTGTATTCTTTAAATTAATTTTCACATCTTATTAATATTTACCTTTGTAATTATTTTACTTTTAGTAATCTCAGTTGCTAAACAATTTTAACTTAAGTAAAGATGGATAGTGGCTAGCAGTGGAATCCGGGACGCGCGTTTCTTTCTATTTGGGATTCACCAGATGAATGTACCTGCATCTCAGAGTTAATGTTCACTCCATATACCAACATGAGACTGATCAATTGCAGTCCTAAATAACAATGGGAAGATACAAGTAAAACAACACCAAGTGAATTATAACTTATCTTATTCAAGTGTTTTAGATTTAGATAACTTAATTATGTAAGTTCTTTATCTAGTAATGTTTAACTAATAATATTTTCATTATTTACAGTCAATCGAAATCATTAACTTTCAGTGACCTATGCTTAAATCAAGTCTATTTTTTCTAAGTTTAGTTCCTTCTAAAATAAAAAAAACTTAATGTTTAAGGAAAACAATTTAATTATTCAAAAATGGTTCTCAAGTTTATGGGCACTGTTTTAATTCTACTAGTGTTTTGTGATAATTTATAAAATTTGTAGTTACTACTGACGATGTTAGTTGGTAACATAATTTGAATCTGTCACTTTCTTCAATAATGATATTTGAAAAGTCTTTTTACGTTCAGTTATCATTCCGTTAAAAATTGACATCTTACATAGAATTAATAATTGAATAGAAAACGTATTAAGAAACACATTAATTTTGTGAAGAATTTGCCTAAAATATGATTGACTGAGTAATCATTAGGTAGATCCAGGTAATCAAGGTTTTTATCACCTATGGTTGAGATTGAAGTCATATGACATTTTTACTACACATTCACTTTTCGAACAATAAATGATAATTATGCGCGAAAGAGTTTTTTCAATCCCACAGGAATTGTTGATTTACTTGAGGTTTCATACACAATTTCTGATGATATCCAAATAACAAAAAACCCAGTTTCAAGGTTTTCTGACGACTTATTTCAGTCACCTCATTTCTCAACATAGTGCAAATGCTGTCGATTCCCTTGTGCTGGTGGCCACGGTACAAAGCAATTGGTAGGATTTGATAAGCATCAAAAGGGATAGACCGACATGACGTTAGTCAGTACTTTGTGACCAGTTAGATCGCAACTGCCGTATTGAATGTAAATGCACAACAGAGTTATTCTGTTCAGCAAAGTTCTCTATTTTATGGTATGAGTATGGGAAACCATAGGTTTATATAAGATTAGGAGTTGAATTTAAAGTTTCTTAATACTGAGCAAAATAAGTAACTGAAAACCAATCAGTAGGCAGTACTTAACATACATTAAAATAATCTAAAGACCAGACGAGTGTTTCTGTCTTTTATGCCTCCCCATCAACGGTGTGCTTAATCTGATTCGATTTAATCGGTCACACTTTTGAATTCACTTTAACTCTGGGCAGTTGCTTAAGCAGATGAATGGTATCGAATAATTTATAGTGCTTAACAGATTTATATTTTGAGATGACGTAACTAGGTGAAACTGAGTTGCATTAAATTCGCATGATATGCTCTCATTTCAGATACTTGTAATATAACTTACTTTTTACGTAAAGGTTCTACTCATTTTGAAAACTACATTTTTAGTAAAATCTTTATAAATATTCATTTTATCATCTTCGAATTATTGAAGAAGGAGGAAGAGAATTCAGCGAGGAAAAGTTTCCATTCGATGATTTCATTTACAGTCATATTTATAACCAATTTTTCTTTGCTAAAATAGTGTTCTATAGTGAAATAGAAAGGTGCTAATTAATTACAGGTGAAAGGAAATCATGTAATAATCGGCTAGTGAAAAGTGGTGAGGTGAAATAATTATCCAATTGATAGCTATTAAGAACAGGATTGTTAAAAATTGTAACAATTGCTAATTGATAGTTGTGAAAATAATTGGCAAGGAGTAGGAATGATAAAACGAATAAAAACGATAGATTATGGATGATAGAAAGAGAGGTCAGGGTCATAGAAGAATGTGAGATTGAACATACTGCCTTTGTACGCAAATGTTAGGCTTAAACCAGTGGATAGCGATAGTTTCTGCAATGCATAAGTTTCTCATTTACATTCTTATTGATCCAGCTCTTCTGACTGTATGTATAATTCTAAAGGAGGCTTCTGGTGAAGCGGAGTGGCCGAAATTAACAAGATGATCCATGATTGAGTTTCGACTGAATTCTGAAAATCTTTGGAGTACCAGACAGAGTAATGTTCAGGGATGCGTTTCTAAAGAGCTTGCTTTGTGAGGCCAGTTTGACCTGCTCCACATGAGCAAGTAAACTCCCCAAAGTGGGGGCTTACCCTTCTCACAACTTCAAATCACAGACGACTAGGACAGATAATGAGAAGTTCAGACGAATGCAACGTTCTCCTTAGAGATGTTGAAGGTCTGTTTTCCAGAATTTCTGCTGCAATGTCTCCTTTAGACTAAATGTTCATGAAGAGATTCTTCTTTAGTGTCTTGA